AGGCAAATTTTCTTAATTAGACTAGTTTGCCAAATATTAAATAAAATTTCCATTTACATCTTTTTATAAAGCTTTGGCAAGGACTATGATAAAAATGACTTTAATTGTATGCAATAAACCATTTTTAAGTAAATCACTATTTTACCTAACTTTCGTGTGAGAAAGTGAGAAAGAGAAATCTTAAACATCCAGAGTTGGGGGAGAAAAGGTACATTTCATACAGAGATGCAATGTTAGGGAGTAAACCAGACTTCCTACTTCTTTATCCTTTTTCTTCTTCTAATTCAGACTATAAAGGAGATTCTATTTATTAAGTTTCCCTAAATCTGACCAAGTTAAATGTTAATACAGTACAAAAGGCATACTAGTGAAGTGGTGAAAACTTCAAAAGTGGAGCATTTGGTTGCATTTCTTCCCTTGCTGATTTTCATTCTGCTTATTATGACATTAGGTAGTTTATGCTGGCCTAGTTAAGAAGAATTTTGGTTTATGTCTTGTGATGAATCAAGGTAGCTAAACTACCTACCAGATAAAGCCCAATACTCTTTAAAATAATAAAATAAAATCTAGCAATCAAGAACATAACATTTACTCCAGTATTCAATTTAAAGTTACTAGATTATAAAAAAGCAGGGGATTGTAACCCACTGGAGAAAAAGTTTTCAGTAGAAACAGATCTCGAAATTAATGGAAAAGGACATTAAAACAACATAGTATGCTCTAGATATTTAAATAAGAATTAGAAAACAAGATAATTATTTAAAAATAGAATATATATATATATATATATGTATAAAAGACCCAAGGGAACCTGTATAAATGAAAAATGCAACTTCTGAAATGAAAAATACACTGTATAAAATTAATAGCAGCTTAGATACTCATGAAAGATCAACAACCTTGAAGACATAGCAGTAGAAACTATCCAAAATGAAGCACAGAGAAAATAAATACTATATGTAATAAATACGGAGTAGAATATATACTACAGTTGACCCCTGAACAATGTGGCAGTCAGGGGTCCTGACCCTCACACTTTCAAAAAATCCATGTATAACTTTTGACTCCCCCAAACTTAACTACTAATAGCCTAGTGTTGACTCTAAGCCTTAATGATAACATAAACAGTTTAATTAGTACATGTTTTATATGTTATATGTTTTGTATACTGTATTTTTACAATAAAGTAAGCTAGAGAAAAGGGTTTTTCAAACTGTCAAAATCTCCAAAAACTTTTCCAATATATTTATTGAAAAAATCCACATGTAAGTGGACCCATGAAGTTCAAATCCATGTTGTTCAAGGGTCAGTTGTATATATATGATTGTTAATTTTATGCATCACTTAAGTGGGCCATGGGTGCCCAGATACAATGTTCACATGTTTCTCTGGGTATGTTTGTGAGTGTGTTTTTGGATGGGTTTACGTTTGAGTCAGTAGACTAAGTAAAGCAAATTGTACTCCTTAATGCAGGTGGGCCTCATCCAATCAGTTGAAAGCATAAACAAATATGGCTGATCCCCACTGAATGACTCTGGTTTGACTGGTTGAGCTAGAATACCAGTTTTTTCCTGCTCTTCTAGACAAAAAAATATATATATATATCTTCATGTTCTCTGAAGAACCCTGACTACTAATATACTAATACTATATATATTATCAGTGATGAATGCATATATATTCCTATCAGAGTGTGTGTGTGTGTATATAAATGTGACCAGTGGGAAAATATTAAGTGATGCAGCATATATGCAATTGTAATACCATAAGGAGAAAATAAAGAAAAAAAATACTTTTTGATGAAATAATGGTCAAAACAAGTGATAAAGAGAAATCTTAAACATCCAGAGTTGGGGGGGAAAAAGGTACATTTCATACAGAGATATAATGTTAGGGAGTAGACCAGACTTCCTATTTCTTTATCCTTTTTCTTCTTCTAATTCAGACTATAAAGGAGATTCTATTTATTAAGTTTCCCTAAATTTGACCAAGTTAAATGTTAATACAGTACAAAGGGCATACAAGTGAAGTGGTAAAAACTTCAAAAGTGGAGCGTTTGGTTGCATTTCTTCCCTTGCTGATTTTCATTCTGCTTATTATGACATTAGGTAGTTTATGCTGGCCTAGTTAAGAAGAATTTTGGTTTATATTATCTAGTTTATGGAAGCTGTCTTGTGATGAATCAATAGCTTAGAAATTCTGGAAAGGATATTGGTAGAGCTAATGCTTCTCTTCCTTCTAATACAAGCCCAATATTTCACTACAATATATATTAAAATCATCATGATACGTATATAAAAAGTCAACCAAGAGAATTTTGAGTGAAAAAAAAAACTATTCGAATTATGGTTGGTGCCCATCTTCCCTATCAAAGAATTATTGTGCATATCATTCATAGAGTGAATTAATACTTATGAATCTGTATGCAATTTGTGTATATGTATGTCATTCACATACACGTATCAGATAAGTATATCAAAAAACAAAAACGAAACCTAAAACACTGGAGCCCAGTGGCCTCAATTATTCCTGTGAGGTCAGATAGTACTGTGAGAGCGAGTCATGCTTCTGCCACTTATTAGATGAGAGATGTTTTCCAAGTCCCTCTTAACTATTACGCTTATTTTCCCATTTGTATATAAGGAATAAAAAGCACCCTTAAAGGAGATACTTTAATTACCAGTTAAGACTATGTAAATACACTACTCAATGCATTTACTGTCTGGCATGCAGGACTCAGCGAGTGACACCTTCCACTTCAACGGTCCTATTGGATGCAGGATGCAGTTTCTTACAGTGTTCTTTTTCACTTAAGTATATACAGACCATTTTTATAAGCCAAAAATATAATACTAAACCACATCTTTAAATGGGTGAAAATAATTTCATTGTTTGGATTTACCATAAATTAATTGCCTGTCGTATGATATTTAGATTTTTTCAGTGTTTAAAATATATGATGTTTTATAAATCTCTATATTTCTGTATTATGACACTTCTGGCCAATTGCTTTATTCAGTTCACACTTCCGTAACACATTACTACAGACTGAGTGGTTTAAACAGCAGACATTTATTTCTCATAGTTCTGGAGGCCAGGAGATCTGAGGTCCCAGTGCTGGTTGAGTCGGTTCCCAGGGAGAGCCCTCTCCTGCTTTGCATGTGGCCACCTTCTCGTTATGTCCCCACATGGCAGAGAAAGCTGTGGTCTCTCTTCTTTTTCCAATAAGGATACTAGTCCCATCTTAGGGTCCCACCATCACGACCTTATCTAAACCCAATTTTCACCCAAAGATCCCATCTCCAAGTACCACCACATTCCAGGATGAAAGTTGTGTCAAATTCATCCTTTGAATTTCTGGGCAAGGAGAGCATAATTCAGGCCAGAGTATCAATTATTCTTCAGGATAAATGCTTAGGTATTCTGAGGTTTGATACTAGGAATATATAAGAAGATATTAGAAACTTATCCTCTATGAAAAGTGTGCTGCCTCTCTGTTACATTTGCTTTTGAAAGGGCCTATTTCTTCAAAGCAAAACACCATTTATTATTCTTGGCCAACATATTAGAATACCATGATACCTCCTTACTTCATTTTTAAAATTCTCATTAGTAACTAATGAGTTAAAAAACAATTATGTTCCTTGGTTATTTATATTTCTCCATTTACTAATCATACATTTTGCCTATTCTATATTAAAGTTTAAAAATTTTTATGTTTTAAATTTTAAGTACTCCTGTATCTTGTTTATCAAAACTGTGCACCATACTTTCATATTTATGATAACTTATCAACATTTTTCTGTGAGAAGATGAATCAATTCTGTTGTTCAGACTCTGAGATTTATATCCTATCAGCAAGTGATGCGGTGAAATTTGAACACAGGCATTTTGATTATGGAAACTTACTCTTAATTCCCACATATAATACTATGTGGCTCTAGACAAGTAATTTTAGATTCTCTGATTTTTCCTCATGTGGGGCTGGGCTATCAAAATCTGGATCTTATAGGGATGGTGAGATAACAAATGTAAAATACAAGCTCTGAACACATGGTAGGCACTGAAAAATATGTTTACTCCTTAAAAAGCATTAATTAACTCTTTGTAATTGGAAAGAGCATGCTGTCACCCAGTATACCTTCCAATATTACATAATTTGAAATTTCAATCAGGTGGGCCTTATGCTTCTTTCTTCTTCCCTCTCTAGCTTAAGGACCTGATGACAAATACAAGAGAAATGTGAAAAATGAGCCATTAAAAAAAATCTCTGACTGCTCTGCAGGACTCTCTCCATTTGGGGAAGGAACAGTCCTTCATTAGAAGCAGATAGTAGCATTCTTTATAAAGCATTTCGCATTAACCCAGTCCTAAAGAGTAAGCTCTTGTGAATGCGGCCACATTACTTCAGCCAACACTCCGAGCCTCCTGCAAAGATGAAAGTTTCACATACTCCAGAAAGCACCAGGCCTTAGCCGTTCTGACTACCAGTGGAAAAAACAGGCTTTCGGCAGTTCCAGGAAACTAAAGCAGTAAAGTGAGAAGGGACAGTGGAACAATTTATTCCCTAAATTTACAAAAGAATCCTTGGTGGGGTGGGAGGCAAAATGTTTGCTCTCTTTTAACTGCTGCCATTAAAAATGAGATTTATATTTTACTCTAAAAAACGGTGACATTCTAAGCTGAAGGTTGTGACATTCAGCCACACACCTTTAGTTGTACAAATAAACACATTAATCTCCATGGGACTGCGGATTTGCTTTTTTTGTATTCATGCCAGCCTCAGAATGTGCTCTGATTGCCTGTTTTTAAAGAAAACAGGATGTCAGAATTGGGTGAGGTGAGGCTTGCATGTTAATGTAATTCTTCAGAGTTAATGTTAGAAAATTGCTCCTCTATTTAAGGCAGTACCTGAGTGAGTTGCATGTTTCTTGTAGTTTTCCAGAAGGTAGTTTTGTAGGTGTAACTTGACAACAGACCCTGATATTCTTTGAGGAAACACTACGTATACTGGATTCCTCTTTCATGGTCCTATGAATACTATATTATGTGCCATTGAGCTTGCAGGAAAGAGAATCCTATTTTCTCTGGGTTGGGGACAGATTTCCTAAGAAGGGTAAGTCACTCCTGATGTCTATTTGGGGGGGAGATGGTTGCTTCTACATTGGAAACCAGAACTAAGACAGGGCTCTAGGTGGGGTAGCACTCCTAATCTTGATGAGGAAAGGGGCCCAATGACCAGCAGGACGGTGGAGTCACTGGTGGAGCTGATGCTGAGGGGTGCTGGGAGACCGGGAACTTGCCCTCTGATATGTGTGCCTGTCAGGATTCAGGATCCTGGTGAGAGCCCCACCGATGTGTAGAAGAGAGCAAGTGAGCCTTGGGAACTTGAAAAAGTTCTACTTTTAAGTAATGTTTTTTTTATATTCCATTATAATAACACCACAGTCAGTAAATCTTCACTCCTCAGCCCGGGACTATTCCCTCCAGAAAACAAAACCTTCCAATGATTTCCTTTACCCTACTTGAAAGCTTAACTTTCCAACATGTTTTTTTCTTCCCAACAAGAAGGAATTTCATTAGAGTTGGTTAGTATTCAGTGAGTCAGCTCTTGGTTTCAAACCCACCCCCCCCTTGTTTTTTGGGACTGCCCAAGGAAAGATGGCAGCACTGGTAAATAGAGTTTGACGCTACATAGGTTCATGTTATCAGGCTTTCAGCAGACACAGAACCGCAGAGATGGCGTGGAGGCAGTCAGCAAACATCCTGGGGAAGGAACAGGCACTTGAACTCGAGGAACAGAGGACACACGTTCACCACGGAAGAGCGGGCCTGAGCAGGGACTAACAGGGCCCACACGTCTTCTAAGTGCAGTGGTTCCTTTGGTGGAAGGGGACACAGAAGGCAGGAAAAACACCATTATCTGTCACAAATGAGCAACAAATGCAGTCCAGGAAATAGGACATTGACTTTGGGATCAAATTGACCAGTGTTAGAACACTGGCCCTTCCACATTCCAGATAATTTCCTAATCAGTAAATTAGTATTAGGAGTAATTCCTTAGAGTTGTTCTAACCATCAAATGAACTGAACCAGAGGTCTTACATTACAGCTCACGGCCAAATCTAACCACTGGCTCCTTTTGCAAGTAAAGTTTAATTGGAACACAACCATGCCCCCTTGTTTACATACCATCTGTGGCTGCAGTAGCAGAATTGGGTACCTGTGATGGAGACCAACCCTATGCCCTGCGAATACTAATATACTTAACTATCTGGCTTTTTATCAAGATAAGAAATTCGTGTACTTGAAGTAAACTATGTAAAGTGAACTCACTAAGTAAAATACCCATTATCCTGGCACGTAAGTGATACTCACTTTTGACTAACAATTGTTAATTCCATCATTACTATTATTACCTACAGATAAAGACCATCCAGCCAATGAAAGCAAATGTTACTGTGTTAGCTGTGACTTCAATTCTTGATCCTTCACCTCAGAGAACCTGACTAGCTTTCTGCCTTAGCCCATGAGATGTTTCAGCAAACGCATTAATAATACTCTTCATTACTGTCTAACATGCAGCTCCTAGTTTCTATTAGTGTCCCACCAGGAGGAGCAGTTCTAGACTATGTGTTGACATTAAGAATATCAATCCTCCCTTCAGCACAAGATCTAGATTTGAAGTCAGTCTGAAAAGCCCTTTTCTCTGTTTCTTATCTGGCCCTTTGGAACTTTTCTGTCCAACTGTGATCAAAGGAAAAGAGGGCATTGGGATTTCCCCTCCAGTCAATTAGAGCACAAATCACACCTTCTACACCTCACTTCTCTAGGGACCCACTTCCGTCCTGCTCAAGCTTTCCAGACACCGAGCATGCCTCACAAAGGAAGCACCTGCAGGTGGCTTGGTATTTCATCCATTGCATGTGATGCTGAAAGTAGGGGTGCCTCTTGCCAGCATCTTAGAAAGAGTGACTCCAAAGGAGAAGCTGCGCGTCCCCGTCTCCTGGACACATTGTTTCATTTTTCCTTCATAGAGTAGGCGCTGGAGCTCATTGGGATGAGACAATAGTGAGAACCACAAAAAGGAAGAAATACTGAAAATTTTTATAATTTCCACCTCTTGACTTCCCCCTTTGGTATTTTATGTACCCAATTGCCAGTCATTTCCCTGAGAACCTCACCGAGTGACCTACAGTAAGCAGGTCGTGTCCAGGTCCCCTAGGACTTCCCTATGGCGTCCCCAGTGATGGAGTCCTGAGATGGCGAGGGCTGCATCTGCCTGAGGGGTGACACTGAGGGGGCACACAGTGGGTACGAGCTGTGGAAAGCCTTCAGATGGGGAAGCCTACCCCTTCACATCAGAGATGCAGGGACCGATCCAGTGAGTCACCCACCCACTGCCTTGGGCCACCGGCAGAGGACACGAACTGCGAGAGACTGCAACTCTTACACTATATTTCATAATTAGCCAGCCGTCGTATTATCCTAGGTTTCACATGAAAGTTAATCAAAATACTGCATTTGGAGTAATTTTGCTTTTTTTTAGTAAAAGAGTATCCAAAAAACCCTTAAATTCATAGTTATGAAGCAGTGTTTCAGAGAAGAATGATGTTTGCCTCTTCCGCAGATACGCACTGAGCCATAACCAGAGGCAGGGACACACGTGAGCAAAACAGACAAGTGACTGCCCTGGAAGCCTACATTTTAAACAGAAGAGTCAGAAAATGAACAAAGGATGGAAAAAATGTGCAGTATCTCTGCTAGTGATAAGTTCTATGATAAGAAGTAAAGGTGTAAAGGGGGAAGGAGCCACCTGGGTTAAAGGTATCATTCAAAAATAAACAGAGGGGTCAGCAGAAGGTGGGAGACACTTCGGCAGAGACCTGCAGGAGGAGAGGGAGCAGGTGGTGTGCATTTGGGGAAGCGGGATTTCCAGGGAGGGAGGCAGCAGAGGAAGGATGCTGAGGGGGCAGGAGGGGCCTAGAGTTTGAGGAGCACCTCTTAAGTCGCTGTGGCTGGGTTACGGTGACTGTGACCTGGGATGGGAGGGAGCCGCTGAGGGATGAGAGGACAGCGGTGAGGGGGAGGGCAGGCAGGGTCCTATGGACCACCTCCAGGGGGATTTGGGGTGAAATGGAAGTCTTTAGAGGTTTTGCAAAGTATAAAGTGGTATGACCCAAATAGGCTGATATTTGAGAGTGGATTTAAAGGGAAAACTGTAGAACATGCTGTTCCCCCTTAGGAAAAGAAAATAAAAAGTTCAAGACTCCTGTCTGGCATGAAAGACTTTCCGCTTTCTGGTTCCACCCACAGACTCCACGTGGCCTTTCCTGCAGCCAGATCCCCATCACATTTCCCCAAGAACCCTCCGACACACTGGCGCTCCCTCTGCCCGGCCTTCTTTATCTGGCTTCTCAGCGATATCTGCATAGCTTCCAATATTCGGCTCAGTGGATCTTGCCCCTTCTGCTGGAAGACCCTTTTCAGTTGTTGGCCAGGGTCACTCTTCTCTGGGGGTCCAGCAGCACTGAGAGCATGCCGCAGCCCCAGGGCTTGGTTCCGTGACTTGTCCATTCATGCGTCTACTTCTTCAGCTGGACTCTGAGCATCTAGACAACCAGCCTTTCGCCTGGGGCAGGGCTCAGTGTCTGTGTAGTAAGTAAATGAATAAAGAATTGAAAGAAAGAATGAATAAATAAGTTCTGGAGATTTGCTGTATAACATTTCTTATAATTAACAGGAAGATACTGTGCACTTCAAAATTTGTTAAGAGGGTTAAGTTAATCTCATGTTAAGTGTTCTTAACACACAGAACACACTCACACACACATGCACACAAACAACAACCAACAAAACAAAGGGACATAAGGGAACTCTGAGAAGTGTTGGATATGTCGATTGCCTTGATTGGGTGATGGTATCATGGATGTTTGTGGAAGTCCAAAATCATCAAATGAGGCCCATAAAAGAAGTGCAATTCTTTATGTATAAATTATACCTCAAAAAAGGTAAAAAAGAATGAATGGGGCCAAAGTACATTATCTTTAGCCATTATATCTCTGATCCTCATGACACTAATGTTCTTAAGCCCCCACATGACATGGTTCTCCGGACTCCCTCTCCTTTCTTCTAATGTCTGTAAAAATCTACGTTCCTTCAACAGCGTTGCATAGGGAGACTCAGTCAATGTGTGCGGTGTTTTACAGACATTAAAATGTTTTCCAGAGGCATGAAAGACACAGATCCTGCACAAAAGAACTGTTTGCACTACCGATACAGAATGTGTTTCTTTTGAAGAAACCTTACGTTACCTAAGAGTCTTTTCAATTTTTATTTGATATTAAATCCTGAGTCCCATATTTAACTCCATCAAAGGCAACTTCCTAGAACAAGGGAGCAGAGAAAAATGAAGAAAAATAAAGATGCATGAACATGTATCAGCTCCTAGAGGTTTTGTGCACTGCTCCATTAGTTGCAACCTGGGCAGTTTGAGAAGTTTGGACATATGCAAACACCCATGATACCATCACCATCACAAAATGACCTCAATGAGGCTGTTCAAAAACATGAAAATGAAAAAAATCACAACTGGTGCAAATGTCCCTTTCTCCTTCTGCCTCCATCAAATCACCTTTACCCCAAACTACCCAATACTTTGTTGTGAAATGTTCTAAGTACCATGAGGTCATGAGACCATAAAAGAGCAGCACTAAAATGACATGAGGAGTGGAGGGGAAAAAATAAGAAATAAAAGGTTATTTTGTTTGCTAAAGGTCAGTCTAGCTGGGCCCCACACATTGATTTTCTTAGCTGCTGTAGTTAAGCAAGTCTCAAAAATAAATGTATTATAGGTAATGGTATGTTTGCAACCGTTGAGCTGAGCTTTAATTCAAGAATACAATCAATAAGACTTTGTGTTTCTATAGAGAACATGAGCAGAAAATCTCTGATGAGGGCATATGTGTTTGTACAGTTGTTGATATCTTAGGCCAATGACTGCTTTGACAAATGACACCCTTCTTCCAATCAATAACTCATAAGCCACCATTTACTTTTTCTTTACCTTGAACTGTAACTGAAAGGAGGTAAACATCACTATAATTTCCATTTAAAACATGGGCTAGAGTTGATTGTGTGGGTGTATATATGGGTGTATATGGCCAAAGGGCAACCTGTGACCAACAAGAACAGAAAGCTCTTACGCTGGGAATCGTGTGATGACTCGTAGTAGTGGGAGGAAATGCTACTAATAAAATCTGCCAATTTTGTATTAAGATCCTTAAGTATGTCCTTTATCTGAATGTGTCCTTTGGAAATAATCCATTGGTTAGGGGAAGGTGAGATTATATACAAAGATGTTTTTTTTGTAGCATTATTTATAACAGGGAAAAATAAAGGCAAGCTAACTTTACAACAATAGTCACAGTCAATATCCTGAGACAGGTATTACACAGCCAGTATTAATGCCACTGAAAAATGGCAAAAGGAAAAGGTAAAAAGGGGACACTGGGCACCTGATATTATTTCAAGTATGCAAGAAAATATACATAGTACAAATATGGGACATAAATATGATAAAATATGTCCAGTGATGTTTTTAAGGTTTTGAGTATATGAAGGATTTTTACCCCATCACTATGTATTTTACAAATGTATTATGAGTAGAATTATTATATATATAATGCATACATATAATTATTGAGATGTAATTGACATATAAATTATATTAGTTTCAGGCATTCTTACCTAATGATTTAATATTTGCATATATTTAGAAATAATCACAATAACTCTAGTTAACATTCATTACCACACATAGTTACAGATTTTTCTTGTGATGATAATTTTTAAGATGTAATCTCTTAACAACTTTCAAATATACAATTCATATTATTAACTATAGTCACTGCACTATACATTTTATCCCCAGAAGTTTTCTTTTAACTAAAAGTTTATACTTTCAGACGTGTGTATTTTTCTTATAAAGGATAGTTTAACTAAATAACTTGACTTTTAAAAATACTGTTATCAAAGGAAGGAACTATAAAAGACAGGCTAATAAGTTTACTTACTAAGTAAGGACAATGGTAAGTAAGTACTTACCATTAGTAAGGACAATTTCTTATTCTCAGTAACATAAATAAAACTAAAAGTCAAAGACCAAACTGGAGGTTGAAAATGCAACATAGATATTGATTTTGTTAATATTTGTTAATATTAAAAACATTAAAAGTAAATAGCCTTAATATATAAAATTATATATCACCTATATTAAGATTCTATTATACATACTATATAATTATATATAGGAAATATATATTTGTGTAATTATATATAATGTATAATTACATATATTACATAGTTAATATACAATATTATATATAGTTACATACTTAGTATATAATAGGTAAATATTCCTAATATATAAAACAAGTAAAATGGACAAATCAAAAAATTCAAATTAGAAAAGGAATAAAATACAAAGCTTCCAAAAGAGGGAACACAAGTAGACAAGATATATTTGAATGTTCAAGGTCAGTACAAATTAAAGAAGTTCTCACTGAACAAAAATGGTTAGTATAATTTGCCTATCAGATTAGTAGATTCATTTTTAATTACAATACTCAGAATTGAAAGAGTAGACCCATGACGGTGCTTAGCTGATGTCAGCTGGCCAAGACATCGCCGCACATGCTCTTCTGTGGTCAGGTGCTGCGTCTATTTGGGCCTCGAAGGATGTCGGTGGCTGCTTCTCAAATGTTGGCTAATACCCTAATACGCAAGCGTGGCCTTACTCAGAGCCCTAGGTCTCCATGCGATTCTCCCATTGGGGTTTGTCAGACCTCCACACAGCACCATTTCTTAACACAGTACTCCAGGGTCTGCTGGGTCGTACGGCTCGAGGGGCAGCTGTGCTTGTGCTGTAGCCCGGACCTGCCGCAGAGCCCTTTCCCCTCCTGGGTCCCACACAAAGCCGGCCTTGCTCCCTGTCACAGCGCAGGTGGCTGGGAGCAGTGTTCCCAAGTGTGAACATGCTGTCTTAGGAAAGGAGCTTGTCAGGCATTGTGCTTCTTTCCTGGTAGTCGGAGGTATACGATGCAACAATTTGCTCTTTATCTTTACTGATGTGGCAGAACCCTGAATATTTGTTGGTTTTATCTCCTGCCGTCTGGAGTACATACATCTTACCAAAGCTTCACACACATTGCCATTCATTCGTTGCTCATTCAGTTTAGTTAACATGGTGCTATTGATATAGTGGAACAGTATTTTATTTTTCAGAATGTCAGTCTCTCCAGGTATCTTCAGACTTTATTATAACAAAGGCTGGGGAATTGGCATAAGGGGCAAGTGCAGGCATGTGTTCCATGTGAATGTGATGGACTTCTGATTCTCCTTCTTATGAGGGATGACAAACAGTACATTTGCCTGCTCTTCTATAGAGTTTCTGGAGAAATTACACTTATCAAGACAATAAAATCTAATGCATGTTGTGCAATGTTATTAATGCATTGCAGCAAGACAATGCAAGTCTAGGAGGATTAATAGCTAACTTGAAACAAAATGAGAAAACAAGGGCCCTCCTTGGTGGCATATTAATAAATAACCATTTTCTGCAGCCAAAGGGTAAATGTAGCTGAACATCAGCCACAGGACTTAATTATAAGGGTTGCAGAGATTCAGAGATTAAATTGTTGGGCCCTCAAAGTCCACTACACCAAGATCAGGGGCAGAGTGAGACTCAGAGGGGGGAACTGCCTCAGTGCCCTCAGGAGCTTTGAAACCAACGTTCCCCTGCACCCTCTGAATCTTCAAAAGTAGCCCTTTTTTTTCTGTTAATAGCTAGCATTCCCCACTTGCTTAGAGATAACACGAAGGCAGGCCTCTGGTTTACAGAACAGCATGCATCTCACTCAGGATTCACCTCTACTTTCTCAGCTGGCTCAAACCAGTCATTTAGATCAAGTCATTATATAGCCCGGCCTGGGAAGTAATGAGCCTGCTAGATAAAGCAAAGGACTTGTTGACTTTTAAAGTTAAAGAAGCTGACGTACAGGTGCTAGCATTCACACTCAGAATGGTTATGACAATTTTATATGCAAGATAGAAATAGATCTTGATTTTTATCTTCAATTCTAAATTGCTGAGCTAATAAAATATGTCTCCTGAGATTTGCAAGAGGCCAGAAATACCACTCCCCAAATTACCAACAGAATAATCTGAAATTTCATGTTCTCATTTGCTAAGTGTCTTATCGTGATGTGGGATGAAATACATTTTTATTTATGGAGTATTTATGCCATCAATAACTGTTGAATTTCTAAGGACATGAATTTTAACTTTCAATAGTCAATTACATTGTAGAACATAATTCTGGAATTGAATTATGCATCACTGTGATCTCTAAACACAAAGAGGTTACAGTAAATGCTAAAATAATGTAAAACAGATGGGAAAGGAAATTTAGTCAGTATCCATATGGAATCACATATATTATTGCACCTTGAATTATTTTTCATCTTACTTGTAATTGCTTTTCTTACATCTAGGTCTTCTCTACATCCCTCATATTTCTTGGTGGATTCTAGGACTTAGCATAGTACTTTTCACTAG